CTGAGACGTGCAAACACCGACACCATTAAAGTGGTGCAAAAGCATATTGTTCATGAATTACAGCCACTGTAGCAAATTTGGTGGTGTAATGCACCTTAAATGACTCAGGGCGCAGCAAACTAGAACTCCTCCAAGGAGTTTTAGTTTGCTGCCCTACCAGCTGTGGAACAAAGCACCAGGCTCCACGCAGCTCAAGGGTTCTGTGTAGCTCAGGGGCTCTGCAGGAAGCCCTGCAGGCAGCCTGGCAGCAGCCTGGGAAGGCAGGCTCTGCCCAAGAGAGGGGAAAAAAAGGGGCAAGCATGATCTTTTTTTTTTTTCTTTCCCCTGGAGCCTGCCTGCCTGCCTGAGCTGTGCTGGGGCCCAGTGCTTCCCTCTGCAGCTGTGGTGCCCCCCAGGACCACCCAAGCTGGCTGCCTGTGGGTGGGTGCCCACTGCTGCCACAGAGGGAAGCACCAACCCCTCCACAGCCCAGGGACCGCTCCACCCGTGGGCAGCTCACCTTCCTCTCCCCGCTGTCAGAGGCAGGTAAGTCGGGTATGTGCACAACACAGTGGCTTAATTGGCCTTAAATTGAAGCAGTGTTTTTCAAAACCCACTGCTTTAATTTAGGGCTCCCGTTTCATCTACACACACCCTAATACATTCTCATCTTGACTCTTACTGGGGCTTCTTGATGCTCCAGTGGTTCAATCAAGACTTTGAATCTATTTCTTTTAGTTCTTTGCAATTATGTAGCATCTTCATTTTTTTAAAGTATGTTTCTGTTATTTTCTATCACTGTGTTTTCCAGGGCCAGATAGTCACCAGGATTAATTTTTCATCCAAATCAGCAAAAGACTTCTGTAATGAAAACAGGAAAAAATTAAAGGAGAAAGAAACAAAGGTTCTAAAGAAAGAAGTAAGTAGCAAATAAAAAACTCAGTCTTAAAATAATTAACTTAATCTTATTAGCATATGTTTTCATCTGTTTATCTTGTAATAATTGTTTGTTTAAAGGGTTTTTTAAATTCTTGCCATACAATCATCTTTGCACTGAAAGTGGAAAATATTCTCCTTAAATTGTTCTTTTTTTTAAGGCCTGATGATTGTAAAGCCACAAAACTGTTTAGGCCAGAGGCTCAGCTGGTTCACACTGGCTTTGGTGATGCTGTGCTAATAGCCACCAACTAAAGATTGGGCCCATGGTCTATTACAGAAGTTCCTTTTATTATGTGTTTATACAATTCACGTTATGTTGGCCTCTTTTTGGTGTTACTGTGATATCAATATTAGAATCTGTTACTGATTAATCTGTTTCCTAGTAATCCTCTTTGCCAGTAAGGTCCAAAATTTGTAGAGCTAGGTCCTCCAGGTTAATAGTCTCCTTGAGCAAGAGTCCAAAATCTTCTGCATCAGAACAGGAATTTATACCTTTTTAGAATTATCTACTATTATTGCTCACTCCTCTCCTTACCAGAGTCATGTGAAAGAGGATTTAACTTTAAATAGCCCATCTAGCAAATATCAGGTAGAGAAAAGAACATTTTGTGAAAGCAAAGATATAGACAAGAGGAATCTGAGTCTTTATTCACTTCCATTGCATCATTAGCTTGATGAAAACTGCACCACAATGGGAATTCTCCACAGATGAGGGGAAGATGGTGGTTTAAATTCTGTCTTTTCCAGCAGCTGCTTTAATTTGCTTTGGAACTAGGTATGAAGTCTTGGCAGCAGCCTATCCATAGTCACCACTATAGGTGAGTGGCATCATAATAGCACTTTGCATTTCAGCAAACCTCTCTTTTAGTCACTCTCCAACACCCATATATACCTGGAACTAAATTGAGTATAATATTTTTAAAGGTCAGAACATTTTTATTTTTATTTTTTGTAAGCTGATGGAATTTATTTGCGTCAGTAGCTTAGCAGTTAATGACATTTTAAACAACTGAGTTTATTTCTTCATTATATATTAAACTGTAAAACTACAAAAGTTTAAACTTTGGTCTCAGGATGAAGTAGGTCAGTGTCTTTCTTTGTATTTTACCCCTTCACTAAAATGACCTTTTCCTAAGGACGAACTTTAAAAGGGTATGTTCCTCATAGTGTATTGTACATGATGTAAGAATTCCTTTCAGTATATTTCTAAATAAAAAGTAATATTTTACACTATTCCTTTTCACTCCCCAACAGCAAACAAAATAACTTACTCTTTTATGGTACCCAAAATGGCTTAGATTTTTTTCAGTTGTCAGCAATTTTCAAAATTAATTGCAACCACAAAGAAAAACCTCATAAATCAAGAAGTGCTTAACTGACTTGAGCAGAAAACCTTGAAAACATCCAGTTTTGACTACTTGCAAGCCAGTTAGCTATATTGTTTATTGGCTTTTCCTCAGAAGACTTCTAAGCGTTATAGTGTTCTTTTGTATTTAAGACTGGTAACAGTACAGATCCCTTTCACATTAGTATCCATTTTTCATGAAGGTTTTTTCTCCTTCCTGACAATACTTCATCTGAGCTGAACAGAGTCTTCATTACCAAGGGAATGGTATAAAAGGTGCAACTCATCTTCCTAATGATAATGCCTCATAAACAATTTATCAGGTGCAAGATTTTTGATGAAGGACAGCATATTGTAGTCAAAGAAAAAGAAAGCCAGATGTAATATCCATTCCTACAATGGCATACTTTGCTCTGTTTTCATGTATAATCTTCTGCCAGTAGAGGTAATTTGGACAAATTATTGGTGAGATGTGAGACTTAGAAAAGATTAATCATGTTCAAAAATTCTTTGTTTTATTTCCTTTAATGCCTTTGGAAATAGCTTGTCTTACAAACTTTAAGATAGATTTTACTGCTTCTTTCAAATATAAGACCCTGGACTAATTCTCAAATGCGGAAAAAACATTTTCAAATGTACTTATTAACAAATTAGGAACTAGGCATTGGCTTGGTAGATCTGGAACATTTTTTTTAAGAATGTAAAATGTCTGGATGAAATCTAACATTTAATTTATAAAACACAGCATTTGGATGCATTTCAACTTGTTAATAAACCCAGTATCAGGAGGTTTAGCCATGTAGATTTTTGTTTTAGGAGGAAATTAGTGAGACCATATAATGGAAAATAAGTTTTAATCTTAATTATGGAGAGACTACTGACTCCCATAAAAACAGAAAAGAGTTCCTGTTCTGAAGGGAAATAATTGTGGTACAAGATGACCTATTTAAATAACAAATCCAAAATAACTGGGGATGATCTGAATCATTAAAGATGTAAAATTGTGAAAGCTTTATTTTTAAGAGGTAAAGGAGTATCATTTAGGAGATCCTATGTGAATTCTTCTTCTTAGTTTCAAGGTCTAGAATGAAATTTACAAAGATGTGAAAAGAAGTCTCTCTCTTAGGTGACCTGGAGACTAATTCTCACTAATTTACAATAACATGTATTACTCTAAAGGGACTCAGGTATGACAGTGCTGGGTATGCCCACCTTTAGAAATTAGGCATTTGGCTTCAATAGCACAGTTCACAAACATGTCTCCCCACTTCACAAATAGGGAAAGTTGGAGCTTGCATACATTGTTGCTGTGGCTGATGCTGGATTTGCTGCCACCATGCTGTTGACAAGCCTTTGGGTAACTAAGACTGGGATGTACAAGTATGATATCCTGAGCCAAGGGATGCTTAAGGCAGCTAACAGAAAAGCACTGAAATCCTACTTAATTCGCAGATTTAAGGACTGCAGAGAGGCACCAAGTGAAGGCACCCGTGTGAGGCTGGGCCATTACAAAGTTTGTCCAGCAGAGCTGTGTCAGCTAGCAGTGTGAAAAGATCACAATGAATAACTGACATATGAAATGCCTCTACACTAATGCCCGTAGCATGGGGAACAA